TCTGCTCCATTAAAGTGATGATTTAGAAACCTCACCCATATTGAGATTAAGTCTTAAATCTCACTCAAATCAAGAGAGATTAACTTCAGAAGTCCCATCTCAAAAAGAGCTTTCCGACGGCTTACAAAATCGTAGGATGTAGCACAAAATTCTATACTTTAAAACCGTTATTTCAATTAACAGTGTAATACAAGTTTAAAACTGTTTAAAACTGCTGTTAATGTTCTACGATATTTGGCACCTAAGTTAGGCAAACCCACTAAACTGCCGCGTGTCGTTTGCTCTGACAAACGGTAGTGTGTGAGGGCTGGAAACGACACGCTACTAGGGAATCGGTGCCCGCAAGCTTTGCCGCGCGGCGCGCCTGCTTGGATGGCGCTTGTAGGCCACCCGATAATTTGTTCATTTTTTCCTCCTTTCCTCCCCTTTGTCTTGCTGCTGCTGCTGCTGCTGCTGCTCCTGGGCTCCTCGCTACTCCTGTCCCTCCCCCTAATTACGTTCTGCCCTTCGCGCCGGGCCGGCCCCGACCAAGGCGGCTCGATGAAGACACTTGCAGCCCTCGAAAATAAATGAAGCTGGTCCCTCCCTCTCTCCCGCCCGCCGCCCGGCTGCCTCCTAGCCCGCGCCCCGCCGCCTGAGATTCTGCGAAGCCCAGCCTGGCGGGTCGAAAACGCCCCCCTTCTGCACCGCCCCACTACCTTTCCTCTCCGACCGACCTCCTCCGCAATACCTAACTCCCCTTCTCCTCAGGCTTTTAGCTCTTGAGTCAAAATGACCCCGTGGCCCAGCCCCAGGTCACGACGAACAAAGTGGGCTCATCACTGCCACTGATTTTACACTATGTTTTTGTTCCTGCGTAAACAGCAATCTTCGACATTCGTGCAGTTCGACGCATCCATGCAACAAAGGCGGATGAAAAAGCGGTCGCCGAACAAAGACGCACACGCACGAGAACACAGTCGCTCAACAACGACGCATCTGCTTTTCGCTGATCTCGGCATACTCGGCTTTGGAGGCCTCTCACGACCTCAACGAGGAAAAGTGGCACCGTTTTCGCGGCGAAATGCCATTTTAATTGCCATCATCTCATGCAAAAAAAAGGTCCAACACCCAACACGGTGTGCCACCGCCACCTCTAAGAAGCAAAGCCTGCTGAGATCAGCGAAAAGCAGATCCGCGTCGTTGTTAAACAACCGTGTTTCTGACGCGTCTTTGTTCAGAGACCGCATTTACACCCGCCTTTGTGGCATGGATGCATCGAGTTTCCATCGCTTGACACCGCAATGGCAGCGGTGACCCCCTTCCCCCTCCCCCCGTCCC